TATATAGAGATCTATAATTATAGTATGGGCCTACCAAAGACTGTTCGTATACAATATGGTTCAATCGGTCCAAAAAATGTCCGCCGTAAATATTTATATAAAGAAATGCTACAATTCCAAACAGTTTTTCGCTATAGATATGACGTGTTGCCTATGAAAGGTGCTGCTTTTAAACGTAATGTGTTGTGTTCACTCGTGTGCTGTCTAGATCTAGATCTACGGAGGGTTATTGATAACGACACATAGAACTGGCATCTGCGTTTGTCACTGCTGCGACCAATGTACTGACACTGGCAAGCCCCTTAATGTGTGTGATTCCATAATTTACATGTAATATCCTGTACTTTTTTAAAAATTACGCACATTTAGGGTTCAAACTGCCAATCTTCTTCGGACAGGTGGACACACGCCCTTATTTGTTAATGTTTGTTGTTGTTTATGGGCTGTTCTAATTTTGATTTCTTTCTGTTGTGAAACCTTTCTTTTTCACGTTTTTACACTCATCTAAAAATCTCATCTAGACTAGCTGTTGAAAATTGAAATAGATATAGACCCAAAAATTTGCTCCTGTGTGTGTGTGTGTGTGTGTGTGTGTGTGTGTGTGTGTGTATGTATGTATGTGTGAGTGTTTGAGTGTGTCTGTGTGTGGTAGTAAGTGGAGAGTGAGGAGTGTGTGTGTGTGTTTGTTTGTTTTTCGGGCTTTATTTCAGCCTTTATTCAGTAACAGTTCAAAGTATACAAAAATAGAAACACAGGATCCATTCACTCCAGGACTCATGAGTCATTCGTCTCTTTCAGTTTCACTCTTTCATTCAATTCCCGTGTTCTCTCCCGCGGCTCATCCCCGTCCGCATGACTTTCATACCCCACCCCATCCCTCCAGGCACACACAAAGAAAATCTCACTTGTTCCCTGCGAACCATGGACAATAATATAGGCAAAACACCGCCTGAGCTGCATTCCTTTTGTTCGTGAGCTGTGGACCAGGCCAGGGGTGGTCAGTGTCGTCGTCTTGTAGTTGCTGTCGCCTGTGGATACACTCGCACATTCTTCCTTTCACCCGCTCTTTCACTCACACTGTCTCTCCATCCACAGTTCAGCTCGTCATACGTTCAAAAGTTGCCCACTAGTTATGTTTAGTTAGTGTGTGTACATGTGCATGATGGTGGTGTGTGTGTGGTGGGTGTTACTGAAGGTTGTCTGTAGGCGGGCTTGCCATGCGGTACGTGTTCCTTCCCAGACCAGAGGCAGAATGAAAGTTGGCGCCGAACTCTCGCAATAAATAGATATATATATAGGCAAAAAATCACGAGACCGGAAGCCGAAAACCATTCGGAGAAATAAAGATCGGCACTATTTCTCCGAACGTTCGGAGAAATAGTCACTTCGATTTTATTAAGCATGCCTTGCCTTATCATATTGCTAGATAATTTTACTTTCCCTCTCATCTCATACTTAGATCTAGATCTAAATCTAGATTCTATATTTGATCATCGTTAAATCTCTATTATTATTATAACTTATTAATATATAACCCTCTATCTTAATTAGGCTAGATTTAGATCTACATCTAGATATCCTGATTCTAGATCTAGATTCTAGATCTAGATCTACAGCTAGATCTAATTTCAAAACATATTTTCTTTAAACTTACCTGTCAGAAGTTCTTGACGAACTTGTCGAATAAAAATTGGGGACTGAACTTGATCTAAATTTATACCTCACAATATCAAATACATTTCTTAACCTGTGAGACATTTCCTCAGTCACTCAACAAGATCGTCTATTTGCAGCCAGTTATGATGGACCTAAAAGCATAAGGCTGGTGATTCGAAAAGTAAACACTAACTTGGCCTCACAGAAAGATCAGCTGTCAGTGCTGTCAGTGTCAGCTACTTTCGATTCCTATAAATTGTTGTGAATTGTGTCCCTTGCCATCGTTAGGAAAACGGGACCCGCAGCTGGTGGTGGGGGTTCTGATCTGATTCTCTGAATTCCTACCAAAAAGATTATAATTATTATGTAAGACATTTTAAAGCACAGGGTGATCCAATAAAAAAACAACTGTACAACTTTTTTTCTGAATATCTCGAACAAAAATTGTTCCAGAATGCTGTTACAGATATACATGTAATTCATTCAAAAGGAATTTTCTTTTACCTAAAAGCCACGAAGAAGAAAAAAATATGTTACTTGATTTTAACGACATGAGGGGTTTCAGGCTGCATTTCACCATTGATATGATGTTTTGGTAATTAAATAATCAGAATTGATAATGTTTAATATTTTATTTGCAAGGGTTTTAATAGCCAAAATAATATTTGTTTTCTGCAGCAAAAATTATAGCAGTTTGTTGAGTTTAGCCCTCATAACAGCGCTTCTGCGAACGGTTCTAAAAGTAAAAATTTACCTATTAAAATAATTTATTAGTATCATCATCATGGTGCCCTTTAAGCTGGTGGATCGGGTTTGTTTTCAATATACAGGGTGCCCACTGTAGATAAGATCGGGTCGGGTCGGGGGCAATCGCCCTATAATGCTCGTCGCCTGAAAACAAAACAAAAATAACGCGCTGAAGGGGCTGAGCCGGGTCGGGGGCGATCGCCCCACTCGTTGCCTGAAAACAAACGCGTTTGTTTTTGAGGCGGACGAGCCGGGTAGGCGATCGGCTTGTGCCACGATATCCGCAATATGCGCCCTCTAATCTGGCTAGCAAACTGACCCGACCCGACCCAATCCCATCCGCAGTGGGCACCCGGTCCACTAGACTGTTTTGCAACGATTTTTTATTTTTCTTATCATACATGTTTTCCCAGATGCTTTTTGAGAACCTCCGAAGTCATCACATACAAGACCTGCTCGATAGCAATCACAATCCAATATCCAAAGTGCGTTATGTAAAGTCAACGGGTCCAGTACTAGGCCGTAAGCCTAGGTCCGGTAGCATGATATTAAGAGTAGCCTATTATGATACATTTGACTTTTAGTGAAAAGATAATTCACACTTTTAAAGAGACTGTCAATGTATCCTTTCACCGTAGCCCTACAGCTGCCATGAGTAGTGTTGACAAATCAAGTCTTTCAGTAGCTCCTCCGAAACATAAGCATTGAGTTTTTGCATTGGGTTTTATTTCGGTGGGAGGTGTTCGATTCCATTTGCTTGGAGCCTTGAGATTTTGAATATATGACAAAATCACGATTTGTCTTTTCGAGCAACATTTTTTTCAAGGTTAAAAGGTTGATGACGAACTTTTATAATCTAATAACAAGTATAATAATTATCGGTACCTTGATTTATAGCCTGTGGAAAATTTGACTCAGTTTCATGAGAGAGAGAGAGAGAGAGAGAGAGAGAGAGAGAGAGAGAGAGAGAGAGAGGGAGAGAGAGAGAGAGAGAGCGCGACCGTGCACGCTTGCACGCACGCACGCACACGCGTTGTGCGCACCATTGGTACTTGCGCTCAAGTCTGTGTAGTTTTAATCTTACAAGACCTTGACCCACACTTCCAGGACAATAAAAATAATTGGCGTCTTCAATTTTACATGCACATAGGCAGGCCTATAGGCGTCGAACTAATTGGTTTTTGCCCAGTGAGGATTGTTCACCTTCAGCCTTCAGCAAGCTGGGTCGCGGAGTTGTTTACCTTACGAAATTTAATAATCTTGTACATGAATAATAATTATGATAATTACGTTGTTTATATTTGGATTTATTTGTTTTGATAGTGGTTTTACGTACAGCACTTGCAACAGTTCAGATCATGTTAGCAATTAGTGCCGAAGATTAGAGTCACAAACACAAAAAAGAAGGAGACAAAAGGAAGGCGTTACAGTTAATAGTATCATAGAAAAAGCAAACCACACAAGAGCGCCCATCAACCGCTCGTGCTGTTGCCAAGTTGACAACGCAACCTCAATGAAATGTAATACACAACAGCTAGCATACTCGTTTGGGAAGAAAAATGAGGTTGGGGGCGGGGGTGGGGGGTGGGGGTGTGGGAATAATTAAGGTAATTAAAGATCCAGCCCGATACAGAAGCTATGGTCATATTATACTGGAGGAAAATAAGGTATGCCAAGATCTATGCCCTTTTGGGAACTGAGGTGCCTGATAATATTTTTTCCGGCCTGTTAATGCCAAAGATTCTCCCAAATTCATGTGGAAATGATGGCTTTGATACGCTCATCAGGTCTCAGTGACGTTCAACTGGATTTGGGAGAACAACAGCATTGCAAACTTTCAAATTCATCTCAGACATTCACGCTCACCTACCAACACATTTTAAGGCACACAATTGAGCTGTGCCGGGTCAATTGCAAACGGTTTTTAAACATTTATTATTAGGTCTCTTAATTCTTACGTGATCACAACCTCCGATTCTCTTTCATTAGCGGACCTTTTCACTCGCCATTCCTTCCCATTACTAATACAACGAGTTCCGCAAACATGCAAATACTCAATCTTTATCATCTGAGCACTGCCCCTCCTCCCCCAACCCCATTCAAATAATGGGCACCTCTGATGTTCCTTGAAATCCATCTTTGAAGAAAGATGCTTTTGTCTCCTGATGACCAGGTTCGTAAGAGAAAACCTCTGTAGGTTATAAACAAGAAGAGACTGCATAAAAAATTCTCATATCAATACAATAATAATTATAAAGAAGGCAAGGGATCTCCAAGGATAGACAAGTCTATCATAACCACGTGATCATAACCCTCTATTTTTTTGCCTTCAACAATCCCTGCTTCCGGAATATTCTATTTTGAGCTGCTTCCGGTTTCCCCAAAAGAAAACCACCAGCGACTCAATAAAGTTCTACTTCTACTGTTGAAAAGTAAAATGTCTTTGGTTGTTGGAGTTTGATCCACTTCCGCTTACAATATGGAGACCAGAGCCCGGTTTCGGCGTACTATGAGTACTAACAAAGTTGAAGACAGCAAACAGACAGAACGAAAAGAAAAGTTATGGGGTGATGACAAACCGTGAGTATGCATTCTCGTGCACAACTGTATTTTTGGTTTAACAACGTCTTGTCGTGACCGTTTTCAAATTATTGTGCGACGCGTTTCGTGACCACCGTTATCATCGACGATTGAATAGTTTGCCGATAGCAAATAATGTCATTATTATGTCCCTTGCGAAGTGAGTTGGTACACCACTGAGTTCAGCCAAAACAGTCAGGCTGAACTAGAACTTCTTCAGCTGAGCTTGGCCTACTTTAGTGTTAACCTTGACCTTATCTATGAGGTCAGTTGTCACGGAAGTGGGGCATGGTGGTTCTAAAATTAGTAATTCTTTATTTACAACTAAGGCCAGCCCTGAGTTTTGTTGACTCTCACGGCCACGAGTGAACTTGATTGGCTCATGAGGTTACCGGCGGCGTTTATTGTTGTCTGTTCGTCCATGTGGCAAGGAACTGTTCCTTCCGTGATCAGGTCATGAAGGTCTGAACGTGAGACTGAGGTCGGTGTGTTGTGAATTTTTGTTGAAATGTTTGATTCTGACGCTTTTCTCTGCATTGACTCGCTCTTCGTCTCAAGTCCCCAAGCAGTGATTTTTTTTTTTTTACTGAAGTGGTGAGAGTCTCGCAGGAGTTTGCTAGATTTCTAGTTGGGCTGAAGTCAAGTGAAGTCTGCCTCACAAATAAATTAACATTAGATCTAGATCTAGAATCTAGATCTAGACTAGAATTAATTAGAATTTTAGATTGGCTATTCTTTAGACTTTAGACAATTTTCCCCTTCATGCCTTTTTTTGTTGTTTTTTTTGAAGTGGTAATTTGTTGATTAGATTATAAGTTGTCTTTCCCCTGCTCATATTCCTATTTTTTGTGGCTTGTAAGCTATTGGATTATGTAAAGTGATCTTAGCAGTCTCTTATTAATGGTCTTGACAGAAGTAGATTCTAGGTCTAGAAGTTAAAGGCAGTTTAAGGTTAGATTAAATAGTTCTGAGATTCTTTCCACAATGAATAAATCTTTCGCCTAATAATAAAAAAGAGAAGAAAAAAAATCAGTCATTAAAGACTCAAAAATATTATGAAGTGATAACATTATATTGCCGAGGCAGAGGCATATGTGACTAACATGCAGGCGGACTTGAGAGTCAAAATTTTGGTATGGACTAGATCTAGATTAAATCAGTTTTTATGAGATTTTCACCTTTTCTTGGCAAGCACCTAAACTTTGTAAAAATTATAAACATAGTTTATTGTATTCCTGACCCTGGTGGACCCTACTGTTTTTTTTTTGGGGGGGGGGTGGTTTGGTCATAATTTTGTATAAATAGATCTATGGTGGACAATTTGCACACCTACTTTAAAACTGTATATATTGTCAGACAATAGTAATAAATAAGTTGATATAGATCCAGGTCTGGACAATATGTATAGAGGCGCTTTTTCGGTAGTCTCCCCTACCTACATTATTATTCGCCTATTTTCCTGTTTCGGGAATACAATTTAGTCAAAACTTTACTGATATCGGCCTATATAGAATATTTGAAGAGATTTCATCTTTTGTGTATATTATGGAATAAGATTCTATTTCCTTAAGTACTGTACATGAATGAAAATTGGCTGCTCTTATTGGCCCACATGGGCAAATAAGCTGGGGCTTATTGGCCCACATGGGCCATTTAATGCATTGTTTTTCAAAGTATTTCATACATGGTATTGTCCCAACTTGTTTTCTAACTTCTTAGCTATTATTCATCTTTGTCTTTTTATTTTTAGCATTAGATTGTAAAGCTATACATTCTCAATTTAAAATATGTGATTGATGGACTAATTTGTTGAGCTATTTTTGAAGATGAGAGGACTTTTCGTTCTATCTCTAGCTTTAATAGTTTTTGATTATTAAGATTAAATAAGAAATAATAAATATGGCTATTACTATAGGCATTCTGTATCTTTAATAACACAAATGAGTTTTTATCTTTTGGAATTTTGTTGGTTTGGGAGTCAGGGTTGGTGATTTTTTTTATTTTTAAAATAAAAATGGGTAAAAAATTGATTTTTAAAATTAAAATCAGATTTTTAAAATTTAAATCTGATTTTTTTAAACATTTTAATTATGCATATAGACTTGCATTTGATTACAGTGTGTGTGTTTGTGTGTGTGTGTGTGTGTGTGTGTGCATGCGCTCGTGTTCGCGTAAAAAGAAAAAGAAAATGCTAATTTCAATTATGAAAAAAAAGTAAATTGAATACTGTATTATTTTTACAGTGATAGGGGGGAAAGCAGACTTCTAAGCATGATTATATTAGTCTACTAAACCTTATATCTGTTTTATAAAACCAAGGAAAGGAATTCTGAATGTTTAAAGATGTAAAAACAGAATACATAAAAAAAAAAAGTGATTTAAATCAGAGTTTTATTTTTAAAATCAAGTTGATTTAAATTTTAAAAAATCAACAAATTTAAATCGACCTGATTTAAATCAACCCAACCCTGATTTCAATTATGAAAAAAAAAAGTAAATTGAATACTGTATTATTTTACAGTGACAGGGGGGAAAGCAGACTTTTAAGCATGATCATATTAGTCTTCTAAACCTTATATCTGTTTAATAAAACCAAGGACAGGAATTTTGAATGTTTAAAGATGTAAAAAACTGAATACATTTTTTAAAAAGTGATTTAAATCACCGATTGTTATTTTAAAAATCAAGTTGATTAAAATTTTAAAAAATCAACTGATTTAAATCAACCAAGCTCTGATTTCAATTTATGGAGAAAAAAGTAAATTGAATACTGTATTATTTTACAGAAAGCAGACTTTTAAGCATGATTATATTAGTCTACTAAACCTTAAATCTGTTTTATGAAACCAAGGAAAGGAATTCTGAATGTTGAAATATGAAAAAACTGAATAAAAATAAATTTTAAAAAAAGTGATTTAAATCACTGATTTTTATTTAAGAAATCAAATTGATCTAAATATAAAAAAAATCAACTGATTTAAATCGACCTGATTTAAATCAACCCAACCCTGTTGGGAGTCATTCAAGATTTAGATCTAGATCTATACTTCCCTAATATATTATTGTAGAAATTGACTTACTTTCAACATATAATAATTAACTTAAGCCTTAGAGAAGTGTATAATTATAATATAAAATAATTTCTCTGATATTTAATGTGGATTTTGCTGTTGTATTTTCATTTAGAAATATCATTTGTGGATTTGGGGGGGGGGGGGGGGGGGGGGGGGCAAACACAGGGGAAAAAACCCGCAATTTTTGGGCAAATAATAAATGTTCTAGGGGAAATTTTGTATGCCCCTGTGGGCCAATAAGCACTCCGATGAAAATTACCTGAATTAAACGCTTCTTTTGGAATATTTGGAAAAAACAAATATAAAAAATAAGAATGCTTAGACACTGTCATAATATATATATATATATAGAGAGAGAGAGAGAGAGAGAGATGCCTTCAATTTAGTGCAAATATGTGCTGAAAATGTTTTTTCGATTAGATATTGAGAGGCTTTATTACACAGCAATTTGATCAGTCCTTGAATCAGAATATTTATAATCTGTGTTCACTGAATTGTCCAGACAGCTTGACCGAGCCCAGAATTACCTCTGAAAACATTTGGATGATCGTGATAAAGACATGAAAGGTTCAGCCTTGATATCTTCAACTGAATATATGATCTCTAAAGAGGAACCTAAACCCACCCTAATGGCTTTTGAAGCCCGCAAACTTATGAGAGATAATTCAGTTGGGAGCACTGACAGCTTTGATTCTGATGGACAGTTTTGTACAGAAGCACGCTGCATAATGGATGGCAAAAAGGGCTATGAGAGCCTTGGAAGGTCTGTTTGCAGCGATGGTCAGATTGCTGACAGTGATGACTCTGGAGAAAATACAACCAGTGGCTTTAGCAGTCAGCAAGAAACGCGTTCAGCAAACACAGTTTCACGGCATATCAAGGGTGAATTTGTAAAAACTGTGAGTTCGTTGGGGTCAAGAAAGAAGGTTTTTCAACATCAGAGGCAGCAGAACTACAAACTGAATGAATCTTCAAAAACAAGTGTTCTTCAAAAGATGTGTAAATTATGTGGTGGTGAGATGCAAGAAGAAGTTACAGACACTGAAGTGGAAGAGGACTCTAAACCTGGCATATTTACCAACAGTTGTCAAGTGCTGAAACGTTCTCTGTCGAATGTGATGCCTGATTGGATAATGGAACCAGAGTATATGGTTCATCCCAAGCCTAGAGTCAATAAAAACATGTGAGTGGTTTGTCTTTTCCATTTTGTATCCATAATATGTTAATGTAATTAAAAAAGCGATACGAGGTCTGTGGATTTTTTTCTGGCTGAAATTCTGGGAAGAAAAGTCCTTAGATTAAAGCTGCACAAATTATCATGTCTTATTTGACTTTGGAATGATGACTTGAGATATTAATATCTCTAGTAATTTGTTTCCACTGTAATGTCATTATGTCAGGCAAAAAGGGATGTATCAGAGTGACTGATAACATGACTTTGCTTTTAAACCACGAAGAGTGTCTCTACTAAAATAGACCTATATGTCAAATGTGTAATACTGAGATTAAAGATTTAGCAATAGGGTACTATTTTGGGCCATCTAGGATTCTATCATAGGTATTTGAGATTAAGAAAAATGGATGAGAAAATCATTTTTTCATTTCATTTTTCCCTTCTCCCTTGTCTCAAAAATGATACATAATGACATACATATGTCAGTATAGTTAAGTTCTCTGTCTCTCTACCCTTGGAACATGACCGCACAAGTTCCTATTTCAGATCTGTTCTCAGAAACTGAATGCAGATGTAGCTGGATAGAGGTTTGGCGTCAGTTGGTTGCTCAACACTTCTAGTGCAGATTCGTGAAATGTCTAGTCAAATTCACTATAAAATGTTATACTCCCAACCTTGTGGTATAATGGGGTCCTTGTTCTGTCCTCTATTAGATATAGCCCCTATTTCCTGACATCAACAAGCGAAATGATTCTGCGGTATGATCTGTGTTTGAAAAGTTAAACTTTAAAAAAAAATTACATGTACATTATAATATTTAGAGCTGTTAGTTCTTTCTCTCTCTCTCTCTCTCTCTCTCTCTCTCTCTCTCTCTCTCTCTCTCTCTCTCTCTCTCTCTCTCTCTCTCTCTCTCTCTCTCTCTCTTTATCTCCCTGTCTCTCTCCCTCCCTCTCTCTCTCTTTCTCTCTCTCTGTCTCTCTCTATCTCCCTGTCTCTCTCCCTCCCTGTCTCTCTCTCTCTCTCTCTCTCCCTCTCCCTCTCCCCCTCTCTCTCTCTCTCTCTCTCTCTCCCTGTCTCTCTCCCCCCTCTCTCTCTCTCTCTCTCCCTGTCTCTCTCCCTCCCTCTCTCTTTCTTTCTCCCTCTCCCTCTCCCTCTCTCTCTCTCCCTCTCTCTCTCCCTCTCTCTCCCTCTCTCTCTCCCTCTCTCTCTCTCTCTCTCTCTCTCTCTCTCTCTCTTCTTTCACTTTCTCTCTCCTTTCGCTTTATTCCCCACCCCCTCCCCCCTCTCTCTCTCTCCCTCTCCCTCTGCCCCTCTTTTCTCTCTCTCTCTCTCTCTCTCTCTCTCTCTCTCTCTCTCTCTCTCTCTCTCTCTCTCTCTCTCTCTCTCTCTCTCTCTCCCCCCCCTCTCTCTGTCTGTCTGTCTGTCTCTCTCTCTCTCTCTCTCTCTCTCTTTCTCTCTCTTCTTTCACTTTTACTCTCCTTTCGCTTTATTCCCCCCCTCCCCCCTCTCTCTCTCCCTCTCCCTCTCTCCCTCTCTCCCTCTCCCTCTCCCTCTCCCCCTCTCCCTTTCTCCCTCCCTCCCTCCCTTTCGGCTCTCCCTCCCTTTCGGATTCTTTTTTGTGTGTGTGTGGTGTACAAATTCAAAAATGGGAAATTACATTTATTCCTGGACCAGGGACTACTTGTTTAACTCAAGCAATATGAAATCTACAATCCAAGGGTGTGTTGGTGGTTGGCGGGTGCTCTGGTGTGGCTTGCTCCTGCACTCCTGTCAAACATCTATCGTCCTGATCTCTCCAACTTCTTTTCTGTGTTTGTTACTCACTTGTAACACCTCTGATCTTTGGCACTTATATGGCCTTTTTGTGTTGCAAGTGCCATAAAACTCTTACTAAAATTTAAGACAAGGGTGAGGGAGGTAAGATGATTTAGAAGTGAGCAAATTGGTGACAAATGCTAGCTCACAGAGTTTTGTGCGTGGAAAGGGAGATTATCACTGTACTCTGCCTTGTGGGTGCCATGCACCATGATGTGTTGTGTGTTCCTCTGGAGGCCAGTTTTCTGGTGGTTTCGCGGGTCAGATTTTCACTAGTTTCATAAGGGCTTTATAACAGGGTTGGTGATTTTTTTGATTTTTTAAATAAAAATTTAAAAAATCGATTTTTTTGATTTAAATCAGATTTTTAAAATTTAAATCGGATTTTTTTGATTTTTTTAAAAACGTGGACACAGTTTGGGATTTTTGGTGGCTAAAAGTAAGTTCTTTTAGTGCAAAATGCATTTTCTTTATTTTAACTAAAGATTAATTTAAGCAAGTGCAATTTTAGAAAGCCGTAATCTGCTATATCAGTGAATTATGGCTGCAGACAAACAAAAAATGAAGAAAATGTCAGTCTAAAAGGAAGGGAGGGGTTGGGGGTAATTATGCATAGATAAACTTGCATTTTATTACAGTGTGTGAGTGTGCGCGCGCTTGTGTTTGTCTAAAAAGAAAAAGAAAATGCTACTTTCAATTATGAAAAAAAAGTAAATTGAATACAGTATTATTTTACTACTTACAGTGACAGGGGGGAAAGCAGACTTTTAAGCATGATTATTTTAGTCTACTAAACCTTATTATATCTGTTTTATAAAATCAAGGAAAGGAATTCTGAATGTTTATAGATGTAAAAACAGAATACATTTTTTTAAAGTGATTCAAATCACTGAGTTTTGTTTTCAAAATCAAGTTGATTTAAATTTTTAAAAATCAACTGATTTAAATCGACTTGATTTAAATCAACCCAACCCTGGTTTTCAATTATGAAAAAAAAGTAAATTGAGAACTGTATTATTTTACAGTGACAGGGGGGAATGCAGACTTTTAAGCACGATTATCTTAGTCTACTAAACCTTATATTGTTTAATAAGACCAAGGAAAGGAATTCTGAATGTTTAAATATGTAAAAACTGAATACATTTTTTTGAAAAGTGATTTAAATCACTGATTTTTATTTTAAAAATCAAGTTGATTAAAATTTAAAAAATCAACTCAGCTCTGATTTCAATTATGGAAAAAAAGTAAATTGAATACTGTATTATTTTACAGTGAATGGGGGGAAAGCAGACTTTTAAGCATGATTATATTAGGCTACTAAACCTTATATCTGTTTTATGAAACCAAGGAAAGGAATTCTGAATGTTGATATGTGTAAAAACTGAATAAAAATACATTTTAAAAAAAGTGATTTAAATCACTGATTTTTATTTTAAAAATCAAGTTGATTTAAATTTAAAAAATCAACTGATTTAAATCAACCCAACCCTGCTTTACAAATGAGACGTTTGGCGGATGATGGTTTAAAGGGGTAAATTGTATGTTTTTATATATAAGTGTTCCTTTTTGTGTATTGCAAAATCAAATGGTAAGTTGGCCTGGCAGTATAACGGGGTACAGCATAACATGGTTTGACTTTAACTTAGACTTGGACTCTTGTTCTGCAAATGAAACTCATCTTGTCTATTTTGTTTGATCCAATGTCTTTCTTGGAACAGCGCTAGTACGTGATTTTATGTGTAGCTTTCAATGTTGTCATCCAGTTTAGTATACCCTATAACCAGTAACGACCTCTCTGATACTCAACAAATATTCATTGCCATGTTCTCATGCACATACACCTTCGTACTACAAAGATGAGAATGACCTAAGTGTGTTGCAAGTGCTGTAAAACTCATACTAAAACTAAACGTGACTTCTCGCTCCTCCAGGGCCAGTTGCATATCCCTCTCTGCCCACCTCAATCAGTCACTCAAGTGTTTTTACTTTCCACATGTCACAAAAAATGTTTTCTACTTTTTATTTTGTAAAGCTTTTCACTAAAGCTATGAAGAAATCTTAATGTGGGTGATTGGCAGGTGTTCTGGTGTGGTTTTCTTCTTATTTCCTTCTAATCTTCGGCACTTATATGACCTTATTGTGTTGCAAGTGCCGTAAAACACTTACTAAAACTAAAAACTAAAAATCTTAATGTGTGCCAAAAATTACCATCACAATCAGTATTTGGTTAGACTTAGGAGTCATGGTCTTTAGTATTGGAAAGTTTAAAATAGCGTGGTGCTGTACGGGCTGAAAGTGTTGGATAATCATTGAAAACAAAGGATTCTTATGAACCTGTCTTTCCAACTATTCAGCTGGCAGGTGAAATATACAGTCGAACCTGCCCTGACGGCCACCTCTATAAGACGGCCACCTGTACAAACGGCCACTTTCCATTTCCCCCCTTGCGTTTTTTCTATATAATTTAACTGTGTAAAACGGGCACCTGTCCAACGCGGCCGCGGCCACCTTATTTCAACACACAACCCCTATCACACTAAGCAATAACACCCGTCTAAGACGGCCACCTTAGTGACTCCATTTCGTTTAGTCATTAATTGTGCTTTGGCCCCTGGCGTTGTGGGCAAGCCGTCATAATTCAATCCCCTGTCGCTGTTGTTAGGTAGTCCCTCCAACCGATCATGTTGCGTAGGCCCCTCCAACTGTTGACCAATAGCTACCAATTTTCAGCTGCTGGTGAGGTAAGCGTGTGATCCCTCATAACCCATAAGCCCCGCCCAGAACTTAAACACAAATCGTAAGCGAGATGAGTGGTCACTGTTTACCCAGTCTGTAACAAAGTAACAAAGGACGTCAACTTGAACTTGTGACAGAAACGTCGCTCGTTCTCCGAGTGGTGACGACCCAGGAGTTTGTTTTTACTTCGCACCCGGTCTTCCTTGTCTGATACATTTCGTTTTATTGTCACCCTTTTGCGAAATCAGCAACAAAATAAAAATTACAAACAAAATACAAACCACCACCACCACCAACAAAAACAACAATGCGGCTACTTTCGATTGGGACCTCTGATAGGAATAATTTGTTTTCTTCTTCTTGATCAGTCCTGCCTAAGACGGCCACCTGTCTTATACGGCCACTTTTCTCCTTGACAATGGGTGGCCGTCTTACACAGGTTTGACTGTACTTAAATGTTATATTCATGCCAGTCGAATCCATATGTGAAACTTAATCGGATAGCCTAAGTTGATTAAAATTTTAAAGATGTGAGCAAAATAACTAATAAGATCATATTCTTTGTTTCAGAGTTCACAGTCATGCTGACTCACTCTTCAGCACGAGCAGTGGCTTTACCAACTATTATGGAATTCTCAACCTTTGTCTCATACTGCTGGTGAGAGTTTTTTTTTTAAATCCCGGAGGGGGGGGGGGGGGGGTGAACAAATAAACTCACTGCCCTACTAGTGGGTGTGACTGTTCCAGTAATATCATTTTTGCTTTTTTTGGTGTATATCATGCTGTCTTTTACCTCCTTTTTCCCCCTTTTTTCTCACCTCAGAAAGACTGAGGAGTATATAATATAATCAGCTGTCCCACCCACCGGAGATGCATTTTCCCTGTTGGTGGGATGCCACCCATATGTCACTTGTTTTCTGGTGGCCTTTTTTGTATGTCTGTTCTCGCTGTCTCCGTTCCGTCTGTCTTTCTTTCTGATCTGTTAACTGAGATTCCAGTTGAATATAAGACAGACCCCAAATATCCCCATGAAGGAGCACCCTGTTGACAGGACTGTTTTGAACATTCAGGAAAATTCCCCGCACCTTTCTTCTCTCAATTTGTCTCCTTTCACCTCATTTCCTGCTCTCTAGCAATGTTCTGTCGTCTGCTTTCGTCTCCTCTTTCTGCCCCCACCCCCTCACCTCCTTTGCCCTTTCCTCTGGGCTCCTGATTCTATCTGCAGCCTTTCTACTGCTACTCCTTCGCTTCTTCTTACTGCTGTCTTTCAGCCACACCCCTGATCTTCTGGTAGGAAAGATCTACACCTAGCCTTCTCGGACAAGGGCGAAAAATCTCGGAGGGCCTGTGTGCAAATTGCGCACGTTAAAGATCCCTTGGTGGTCCAAAATCGATAAGAGTAGGCTTCGGCCGCCACCCGGGCAAAATTCCAAATTTCCTACCAACTGAAAACATTAGGTGTGTCCTGCGCGCTCATATAACCTTATGCAGTTGCGAGCGCCGTAAAACACTTAACAAAAACAAACTTTCTTCCTGATTCTTTCAGATTCTTTTCTGTTTGAGATCATTATATCGTTCTGACATTAGAATTTTGATACATTTAATACATGGTCAAAATGGGGAAAAAATATATATATATATTTTTTTGTATTGCTTTCTGGCCATGTCAGTATTGATGGCAACAAGACTGTTGACCACTACACTGGTAACATGTTTGACTATAGACTATAGTGTGAGTAACCATTGTTGGAATCTGAAAGAGGCTTTCAAAACCTTTGTTTGTCCTCTTGAAGATAGACGTTACACACCCTTGACAATGTTTCTAAGGGTGTCCGTTCCATATTGTACCTCCCCCCATGGTGTCTTGATTATTTGACACTTTCAGCAGAAACATGGATATACTTGATAGAATACTATCTTTATTGCTTTGGAATCGACCTCACTTTGTGTGAGAAGACGAAGAGCTTAACCATTATGCGATCAGAACTTGGTTCCCCCACAGTATGAAAAGGAAATATGCATTGTTGGTGAATGCTCTGGTCTCTTGCCCTGTCTGTCTGTAACTCTGTGTCTTCCCCCCCCCCATCCCCCCCCCACGTAATACAACAATCTTCATTTATTTAATGCTATATTTCTGTCGAAATGTGTCTATTATGTTACTGTATTGGCTTGCCACAAAATAACTGGCTATGACCAGTCTTGTATTTCTGGTTATTTGTTCTTTGCTGTACAGTTATATGGTTCACTCTTTGTCTACTTTTTAATTTTGAGTGTAAATTATAACGAAATTATTGTAAAATCTACTCCTTCTCTTTCTGTGACCAGTTCCCCTCTTGCGGTGGATCGCTTGTAATTATGTATCCATAGTTTCTGCTGGTAACATCTTGATTTTGATATGATGTTTGATATTTTGTCATCTCTGTTAGTGTCATTTTGCCGCTCTGGGAAAACTGATATCTGTGGAAGTTTGCTGTGCATGCAAAAGACATACCTACTCTGTACCTAAGAGAGGAAGATTATTTTATTATCTTTTTGATGAAATAGAGTGTCTGTTGCGCCTGAGCTGGCTGGCTCCGACAGACAGGGTCAAAGTAGCCCACTTTCTAAACTGAATTTTATGTAAATAATTTTGTTGAACATTTACAACCACTCTGTTAGAGATTGTATTGAAAAATGTTGGTGAGAGCCACAAAGAATGTACATTTTCAGTTTCCAAGGACTCTCAAGTCATGGGAGTCCCCAAACTTTGGCAGATGTTTTTTTGCTAATTAATTTCTGACAATACCTGACCACCACCTCCTTCGATCGCAAGTATCTTGACTTCTATATCAGATCTATAGATGGGTTCTTTTTTAACCAAAAGCTAGGCAAATGAGCTAGTTTTAAAAATAAACCAATAGCTCCGTATTTCCACAAATTGACAAAAACTTGCATTGTGACACATAGTTTGATTGTGAGGTACTCTCTAGCTAAAATATTTATATGTATATATCATTGTAAAAAAACTTTTGTTTTTTAAAAATTGATACCGTTGTGTATTGTCATGTTTTCTTCTCTGTGTCTTTCAGGTCTTGGCAAATGCTCGTCTTTTCTTAGAGAATATTATAAAGTAAGTATTAAGTGTATTTGTTCCAGTTTATACTTCTTGTTTCCTTTTTTCATTTGGAGGTGGGCAATCTTTGGAGAGCTTTGTCACCAATCTCTTTATCATATATGTCCCAAAAGGGAAAATTCCTGCTGATGATTTGAGTTATCACTTATATGCTGTTAAAAGCAAAGCCAGATTGTAGCTGCAAAAAAACAAAATCTCATAAGACAGCAAATATGAGTTATGCTTAGGGCGAAAAGGGGAAGTTGAGTTAAAAGAAAAACTTTTCTCTAGCTTCCGGACGTCTGGAATAAAAGGAGGTATGCTTTTTTAATTGACTCTGTTCGTGTAATGGGTTGAACGAAGGACTTTAGGAAAGTGCTTGATGCACGTTACAAGTAATATACAAATCTACAACCTGTTAAACAGTAGCAAAATGATAGAAATGAAATTCTCTTTCTCTCTCCCTCTTAAAAATACCATCTCCACTGCCTTTGTTCTTTATTTCTCACCTGTATGAGATCCTAACTCAGATTTTTATAAAAAGATGGTCACTCCAATGAGTGCTCACACTCTCTCTCTCTCTCTCTCTCTCTCTCTCTCTCTCTCTCTCTCTCTCTCTCTCTCTCTCTCTCTTTCTCTCTCTCTTTCTCTCTCTCTCTCTCTCTCTCTCTCTCTCTCTCCCTCTCTCTCTCTCCCTCCCTCAGCTGCTGGTTCAATATAGTGCATAATTTTTCAACATGTGCCTTTAGCATCAGATACAGAGAAGAAAAAAAATCGACTTCATTGTTACTGAAATGCAGAGGCAGAAACTGAAAAAAATTCAAGCTTATTGATAATTCAAGTCAATCCTACAGGCAGCACACAAAAATGTGCTGTGTCTCTGAAGGAAGCACATGCCAATATTTTAAATCAGAAATAAACCCAAGTCTTTTTTTAGCTCCATCTTTTTTTTAGTTATTCATCACCGTGCCATGTGTTTAACTCTTTACCCCCCAGGGCGGTGCCACTGACTGAAGTGTCTTTAGGCCATTCCCAAAGGGGGGACATTTTTAGTTCTGGTGCACAGTAGAATTGTAAATGGGCTGATCTAACAATGTCATGCTCATAGCTGTGCCTGAAATACAACAGGGAACTGCTACTTTTTCTTTCCTAATCCTTACTATCGTCATTTCCTCTACTTTTGTATTTTTGTCACACTCTTGTGACCCTCTATTTCCGGGGTGCCTTGATAGTCGAAGCAGACTTTCTGCTGCTGAAGCTAGAGAGGTGAGCAGAGTAAGTATGATTCCCTGTAAGGACTTCTCTGTTGACATCCACCCCTTGGTGCTCATATGACCTTATGCTGTTGCGAGCGCCGAAAAACTTCTACTAAAACAAAACAGTTTAACTCTTAAGAAACTTATTTCATTGCATTTTTTGTTTTGGACAGGTATGGAATTCTTTTCAACCTGTCTTTCACTGAGTGGTTTTTCAAAGAGCCGTACAACTGGCCAAACTTGATATTGACGTCATGTGAGTACATCATTATTATTATCTTTATTATTATCTCTTCAAAACTGTTTTTCAAAGTTTCTCTGTCTTCGTTTATGGCTTGGTTCAGTTAAGTTTAAACTTGAATATTATCCAAATATTGTGTCGGTTGTAAATTTGGATTGAAAATGTACTGCTTTCCTTTACAAAAGCTGTTTGTCACTTCCATCTAATCCAGTGGTGCTGTTTCTAAAAGGCGTAATTTTGTTGCGTCCTTGTACACGTATAAAGAACACTTAGTTTTTTTTAAAGTCCAGTGTAAACTCATACGTTCCCCTTTCTCACCTCCCCTTCCCTTTTTTTTTTTGTACTAGTGAAAACGATTGTGTAACTTTCACTTCCTGTTGTTTAAACAATTTTATTAGAAAGATAAAATGGGCACAAAGTATAATGCTGGCTGAAACCTATTTCAGATGAAAAGAGCAAATTACATTTACTGTACCCATGTTTTTGTTAACGTTATAGCTTATAGTTTTGAATGTTTTTATCACATATGGCAGATTAAAAAATTACATTTCTTTGTTACTGTTTTGTTGTTGATTGGAACTACCGTTGTGTTCTATAAAATGGACATAAATATGTTAGGAAAGCTTCTTTGCTTTCCCTCTGGGTCCTCTGTCTGTCTGGCTGCCATTCTTTATTTCTATGCCTTAGGTATCACTGTTTTTGTTCCGGAACTCTTTAAAGCATCCATTTAAAGTACAGAAACGATTTTAATGTTTATCCTGTATTTTATATTATGTTTTACTATTATGTGGGATCTGTGTTTCCTCAGATGTGCTCGTAATTTTACTTTCCCAATCTTTTTGTAATACTGAAAATTCGTTCATTTTACATTTGTGTTTGTCTTCGTAGATCACCATAGAACCATCTCTTTGGCTTTCAATGAATTGGGCATATTTAAAATCGGACCTGAAAATTTGTACAAATACTGTCAAATGTCAAATTATTGTCGATAAAGCTATTTGCATTCACTCAGAGTGAGACGGCGTCGGTAACCTAGTGGTTAAGCTACCGGACTCGTATTCGTGAGATTGGGGGTTTGGGGGTTCGAGCCTCAGCTCGGTCCGACATTGTGTCCTTGGGAAAGGCACTTTACACAAACTTCCCACTTGGCTCGGTCCTATCGGAGACGGACGTTAAATTAGGAGGTCCCACCTCTTAAATAACCTAATAGTGTTGATAGTGGCGTTAAACTCATACCATTTCACCATTTTTTCACCAGAGTGAGACAAGTATATAAATAGACTATAACTGACTGAATCTTTAGGTTTTGGAGCATCAGCCTCCATGGGGCTACCCAGAATATCCTTTCTGACACGTTCTGCCATACAGATTGTGATTGATTACAATGGGACACGATTACCCTATTTTAAATTTCTTCACAATATTCGAAATAAGGCTTTGGCAATGAGATGTCTTTGACATTTGAAAGGGTAGTAAGAGTAGAGGTGAATCTTAGAGTAACAGACGAGAATCTCGTTCACCAAAAATTGTTGAGTCCCAGAAGACCACACATACATGCAGCTGTCTTCCAAGAGCAATAAAATTGACAATTTTGGGGTTCTACATTCAGTTTAATCCATGTCAATCAGAAGGACTTTGATTTTTTAATGTTTTTTGAATGACACTGAGCCCTTTCCTTTTTGCGATGGAAGGCCATCATATCATTTTGTTGTTGGTTAGAGTACGCCAGTGGCAGGTTCGTCTTTTCTCCCCGTTGTTTCTGTCTACTTGTCTTTCCTTTTCCCTGCACTAAATGACCGCTGTTATTGTGTCGAATGGCTCACCAACAGCGGGGGAGTTTTACCCATGATCATCGAGCAATTACAAGATTGCCGATAACTGTACTTTCATGAGTGTGGGTGGTTGGTGGGTGCTCTGGTGTGGTTTTCTCCTTTTTTTCCTACCAAAAAAAAACAAACGACAAAAACTATCGCCCTTCTCTCTTTTCCTCCTTTTTTGTGTTTGATACTCTCTTGTAACACCTCTAATCTTCGGCACTTATATGACCTTATTGTGTTGCAAGTGCCTTAAAACTCGTACTAAAACAAATCAAACCGAAATTAAGTAATTAGTCCTGTACTCAACTGTGGTTTGTGAGTCCTTAGTTCTGAGGGCTGCATTTGTCGATTTGATGTCTCCTTGCCCTAGTGGTTTTTCCACCATGTTTATTAAAGTGCCAGAAAATTTCCTCTTGAAAACGGCTTTGGAGGGTCCACACTTGTTGGCTGGATTTCCTCTACATCCTCCCTTCGCCATCTCGCTTTTAACACACAGCTATGTTCATACAGATCGGATTGAAAATGGTTTCTCTTTTTTTTCGATGATTTTCTTAGTATTATCGTCCTTCAAGTAGATTTCCATATTTCTATCAAATATAATATATTTGACAGAATGTATTAGTGGTAATGTAAAAATGCGTTTCTGTTATGACTGCATTTGCTATCAGTGCTGAGTGACCTCAGCAAACTACTGATTAATTGTTTATGTACTGTCACAAAGTGCAAACTCACTAGTCTTCTCTGGCCGTGTAGTCATTCGCAAGCACTCAAATACTTGCAAACCGGACTTGTGCCATCGGTATCGTTAACCCTGCGGGTCAGTGACTTATTTAGGAGACATTTCCACGATAGTCTGGCATACGTTAAGGTCACCTGCTGATAATGCAATCGGGCACAAGTGGACGTGGATAAGTCAGATACCATCGCTTACCTTGATCCGTCGCTTTGTGGTAAGGCTGACGGGGCAGTTCTACAGACTTTTCACTTTTATTTTATTTTTCAGTACGGCCATCTGTCTCAGACTAATTTTTGCGGAAAGGCTGATCGTGATACTAGCGTCGTTTTCGAATCGTTTTTACGCTTTTGATATTATCATTTAAACCGCCTCTTAGATAACCTAGTAGCTGTGATAGGAGCTTTAAAACCCATACACTCACCCCCCCCCCCCCACTGAATTGTCTTTGAGCCGTTCCAAAAGGGGGCGTATTAACATGTTCTTATGCACAGTAGAATTGTAAGGGGGCTCTCGTGGCCTAGAGGTTAAGGTGTTGGCCTCTCAAAGGTCCCGGGTTCGATTCCGGGTAGCGACCAAAAAATGTTCTTCTCTAAAATTGTCTCCTTTCACATCCTTTCCTGATCTCTAACAATGTTCTGTTGTCTACTTTCATTTCCACTTTCTGCCCCCACCCCCTCACCTCCTTTGCCCCCCTCCTCTGGGCTCCTGACTCTTTCTGCAGCCTTTCTACTGCTACTCCTTGGCTCCTCCTAACTGCTGTCTTTCTGCCACACCCCTGATCTTCTGGTAGGAAAGATCTACACCTAGCCTTCTCGGACAAGGGCGAAAAATCTCGGAGGGCCCGTGTGCAAGTTGCGCACGTTAAAGATCCCTTGGTGGTCTAAAATCGATAAGAGTAGGCTTCGGCCGCCACCCGGGCAAAATTCCAAATTTCCTACCAACTGAAAATATTAGTTGTGTCCCGCGCGCTCATATGACCTATGCAGTTGCGAGCGCCGTAAAACACTTTACAAAAACAAAAAAACAAAGAATTGTAAATGGGTTGATTTACCAATGTCATGCTCAAAACTGTGCCTGAACTGCAACAGGAAACTGGTGCTTTTTCTGTCCTAATCCTTACTATCGTCATTTCCCTCTACTTCTTTTGTATGTTTGTCACACTCTTGTGACCTGCTATTTCCGGGTTGCCTTGATAGTCAAAGCAGACTTTGTGCTGTTGAAGCTAGAGAGGTGAGCAGAGTGGATACGTAAACTAAGCCTGATTCCCCGTTTGGACTTCCCTGTCGACATCCGCCCCTTGGCGCTCATATGACCTTTTGCAGCTGCGAGCGCCGTAAAACCTTACTAAAATTCTTTCCTCCTTTTTTTTTCTTTGTATGATACCCTCCATTCTTCGCCGTCTTATGTGGGGTAGCGGTGAGGCCCTCCACCATCGCACGTTGAAGTTCGATTCTCGTTTGGAGATAATTTTTATTATCTCGGGTCTTCTGGGATTTTGTTTACCTCTAGGTCTGGATTTGCCGTGACAGGCAGGGTCAAAATCCGCCTCCTAAATTCTTAAAATTTTTTGTCTATGGGAGCGTAAAACACCGACGTTACCCCCCCCCCCCCACCCCTAACTGTTACTATATTTTCCACACACACACACACACACACCTTAGGACGATAGGTTAAAAAACAACAACTGATTTGTTGATTCTTTACTCCATGCCGCCATGACGTGAAATGTAAATCAGATGGAATCACGAAACCCTCTAATACAGCTCACGCATAGCATTTCAGTTCACATTTCAAACGCAGAGGAAAAACGAAATGGTAATGGCGACGAATGACAAACATAACTCATGGTGTCATCATGGTAAAATTATTATTATTTTAGAGAGGGAGGGGGGGGTTGATCAGAATACTGCAAGAAACGGCGTCACTCGTGAGTCTTGTAGTTAATTTTGGTACGCTGGTTCTGGATTTGATATCATTTTTAAAAACAATAGAAATAGAACATAGTTTTTGGTAAGTTTGTATAGGAGTATTGTATCGCTGGCGAGGGGCCAACCGTCCGGCCCCAACAAAGTTAAAATATGTTGCCGTGCCTGATTTTCCTGGCGTGAGGACGGACTGAAGTCCGGGCGAGGTTTAAAAACTTGTCTGTTCCAACTGTACGTGTAAATAGTCCCAAAAGTCGTGTCGATGGGGGTGTAAAACTAACTACAATTACGTTACGTTAAGCGGTACTCTAAGGTATTCAATAAGCGTTCCCCGCGTATTAATTTTCTGTTTTTTTACGCCCCCCCCCCCCCCCCCTTTTTTTTTTTTTTTTTTTTTCCCCCCCCCCCCCCCCGTTTATTATTTTCCTGTTTCCAGCTTGCCACGACCGACGATCATGTGAAACATTATATATCTAGAATCTAAATATCTGAATGAAACTTCTTTTTTTTAGTTGTAAATAGCAATTACCCTCAGTATTAGTACCGTTACCGGGTTGGCTCCCTCAATTTTTTTGGTGCTTTTTGAAAACTTTTGTACATTGTTTTATATTTTTTTAAATGAAACTGGTTTATTCCTAAATGGGAAAAGTTGCAACAGTAACTTAGTAAAATCACAAAAATTTCATGATCTCTTGTTCTTTTATTCACTGAAAGAGAAATAAAAACAGATTTGTTCCTACTAGTACAGGGTATTCGATACCCTAGAAGAGAATCTCGCGACATACGAATAACCACCAGCATCTGTGATGTTGCGGTTAGGCTCCTCGCCGTGGCACGCAGAAGACATTAAATCGATTCTCGTGTGAGGAGTTGTTTTGTGTGGTTTGAAAAAAATCAATCCCTTTCTGCCTGATGGCTTATTGAATCTTGTATCCCTCTCATCCCAGGTAGGCCCTGGCAGGCTGGATCGAAGCAACGCGTATCCTAAACCATATACATTTTTATCTGTAACTACTGCAGAACTACGATTACATCAATTACAAAAATAATTATGTGGCTGTTTGTTTCCATTGCAATTGTATGGCTACACATTTTTGATAAAGTAAAACGTGCGATGTGTTGATGGTTCCCCAAAAAAATTCCCGTTCACTATCCAACCGGCTTGTGTAGTGTAGCGGCTAAGCGCTTTTCGTCGCATGCAGAAGACATGATTCCGATTTCCGAGTGGGTAGAGCTTTTGTGGAGTTTCTCCGTCTTTCTGCCGGGATGTTGTATCCGTCTCAGTTAAGGTTGAACCTGATAGGCGGGATCGAAGCAGCTCGCCTCTCAAATGATCTTAGTAGTTGTAAAGATGGGGTGTAAAATATTTAGTTACAGTTTTTTCACTACAGCCTGATGTAAAGGAAGGTTTTTTTTCGAGGTGGGGTAGGGTGTGTACATCGGAATTGCGAAGGGATTGAAGTTTTATTCATGCTCGTATTTTTAGCTTCTCGGTTGAGGAATGAGTGTTTGGTGATAGTGTCCTAAGTGAGACATTTCATTTAATGTTGTTTGTCTGTTTCAGCTATTGCTGTTTATCCTGCCATCGCCCTTTTAACAGAAAAGGCATTGTCTAAGGTAAGGGGACAACTTATCTCGCTTACTTTCTTTATATGTGCATGTTTTGTTTTTGTTTTTTATTTGGTCATGATGTTAGATGACATAGACAGTGTCTTAAAACAACTGTACTTGTGTATTTCACTAATAAACGCGGATAACTGCTTTTCTTTAAAAAAAAAAAAGATTTTGGCTTTGCTATCTTTCATTATGATGTTTGCTGACTGGTTTCCTCCTGTATTCCATGTGCATATTCCTTTTTGTTTGTAATTCAATGTTGTTGGCGGCGGTTTGTAAAAAAAATTTTTTTTCTAGATCTGATGTTGCCACAATATTATCCTTAAAAAAATCTTGCTGCTTTCAATCCGTACTTATGCTTTTATTTAACAACACCCGCTCCCTCCCCACTACGGAAGAAAGGCATTAAATAAATTCCAGAAAACGGAACATAATAAAAATAACAAAACTATGGTTTAGTTTAGGGGAATACAGATACATTTAGCGGGCTAGTCCCCCGCTTGTGAGGTGCCATTCGTCCGTCTCTCTAGCTCTCTGGCGTAAAGGTGACATCTTTTGCCCCTTCTTGCTATGTCTTCTGTTTCCATCTTTCTTTCTTCCGTGAACAGATTCTTCGGTCCAGTAAAAAATGGACCCCAGAACCCTCACAGTGTGGGGCACCTTGTTGACGGGGGAATGCGACCCGTCCGTGTTCCCCGGGGTAGCATTCTCACCGCCTCTGCTTTTCGAAATAAAAATACATTCGCGGATTTTGTAGCTCAACAGGTATAATATTCTCCTTTCAACCTGGAGTTAAGAGTTTTCTGCATCGGGCGGGGAATCAAAACGACGATGTAAAAATTGAAGTTGATGTGCGTGGGTGAGCGACGCAAAACCGCGTCATCAATTTTTGCCATCGCGATACATTTTTGTGCTCGTTAGCGCACCAATGTGGACAGATATCGTTATAATGTGGAAGAATAAAACATCCTAAGCTTTCCTTTGGTTATAAAGCTTGTGTTTGTGGCGTGATTATTTTGAAATTATGAAATTAACTTGTTACTAGAATACAAACATTTTTCAGTCAGCCCACGTAGAACTTCTAAATTTGTCAGCATACATATCGAATGGAACTGATTTTTTTTCAATATTTGCTTTGAATTTGGTAAATGTTTGCCAGCATTTTTAAATCAATAATTAGATTGGACTATGCAACCAAACTGTGTTGACAGCACCATAAAACAAATATGCAATCAATCAAATTGTCAGTGGTCTGTGGGCTCTCTTTTTTGTAATGTGACTGTCTGTCTTAATGTTTACTCATGCTTTTTTTCCGTACTACTGCTGTACACATTCCTCTTTGTTTTATTATTATTATTATTGTAATGTGTCCAATTGCGGTTAGCAAGTCGTAGCCAACCAAAGGGCAAAGGAAAACGGTGTCCTACTGAAAGAAAATAAATATTTTTACTTCAATCGCCGCAAACATGGCGTGCTTTAAAACTGATAGGGTTAACATGACATGTTGTCGGGGCTCTCTTGTAAGCGCAGCGTGAATAGGACCACCTTGCCCTTGTACCGGCTGACTGCCGGATCAGCTGGTGGACGTGATTCACGGGTGTTATGTCAATGCTACACAAGTCTACCGCTGGAAGGACGCGCCGTATCGACACATGCGTGCCTTTCTGAAGTGACCTTTACTTTAAATAAGAGGGGGTAAATATTAACGTGGGGGAAAGGCCTCTGCACTTTTCACGACTAGTGGTAATTATCTAACAGGTTACACGTCTTTCCTTCTCTTAAACTACGAGGTGCAGCCTTGACGTCTAGGGTGCAGCGTCTGCATTCCAGTGACCTCTGTCTGTCTGTCTGTCTGTTTGTCTGTCTGTCTGTCTGTCTGTCTGTCTGTCTGTCTGTCTGTCTGTCTGTCTGTGTGTCTGTCTGTGTCTGTCTGTTTGTCTGTCTGTGTCTGTTTGTCTGTCTGTGTCTCTCTCTCTCTCTTTCTCTCTCTCTCTCTGTCTCTCTCTCTCTCTCTCTCTCTTTCTCTATCTATCTATCTATCTCTCCCCCCCTCTCTCTCCCCCCCCTCTCTCTCTCTCTCTCTCTCTCTCTCTCTCTCTCTCTCTCTCTCTCTGTCTGCCTCTTGTCTGTCTCTGTGTCTCTGTCTCTCTGTCATTGTTCTCCCACCTCCCTCTCTCTCCCTCTCTCTCTCTCCCTCTCCTTTTCTCTCCCCCCGCCCCAGGCGTAACCTGTCCGTCGTATTTTGTGGAAATTAAGTCTGTCAAAACAGGTTAATGAATTTTGTACTTGTGTTTGTGAGTACTGGCAGGTTGGGGACATTTTCTACTTCAATGTGCACAGTTTTATAGTGAGTTTGGCTTCTACGAGGACCTTTGTTTTTTGTTTTTTTCTCTTCTTTTCTTCTATTCACCATAATATGGAGCCATGCACACACTGCACGCTCACACACACACACACACACACTCTCTAATTTTGTACTACCCACATTATGTGTGCTGGACCCAACAGTAAGCTATAGGGACGCCTGTGGTCGGGATCGGACGAGAAAAAAGGGCAGATAGACATAGGTGGTGGGTGGTTGGCGGGTGCTCTGGTGTGGTTTGCTTTTTCTTTCTTATCAAACATCTATCGCCCTTATCTCCCCTTCTTCTTTTTTATGTTTGTTACTCTCTTGTGACACCTCTTAGTATTCTGGCGCTCATATGACCTTATGCAGTTGCGAACGCCGTAAAACTTTTACAAAAAACAAGAAAAAAACAAAAGACATAGGTATCATAAGGAAGGGGGTGGGTTTGCGAGGCTCATGGCATGTGATTGTTATCTTGAGGCGCACTTGCTGTTTGTTGTGTAACCCCTGCTCGAGCGAGTCTTTCGATTTTTGTGCAGACGGTCAATGTCCTGAGGATTTTTGGGCATGACCTCTTACATCAACAACATTAGTTCAACGATCTTTCCATCCTTTTCAACATGCCCAGTTTTATCCTATCTCAGAACGTTAGGCCGACTTAAAAAGGTCTTGAACTTTTAATCAGGCCACGTTCTGTATTCTATTAGTCGCTTATGTCGCAAATCGGTCCATTAACCCCCCCCCCCCCCCCC